CTACTACTAATACTACGACTACTACTACTACGACCACGTTTACTAATTCTACTACTAGTACTACTACTGTTACTACTACTACTACTACTACTACTACTACTACTACTACTACTACTACTACTACTACTGCTACTGCTACTACTACGACGACGACGACGACAACGACGACGACGACGACGACGACGACGACGACTACTACTACTACTACTACTACTATTACCACTACTACTACTACTACTACTACTACTACTACTACTACTACTACTACTACTACTACTACTACTACTACTACTACTAGTACTACTGCTACTGCTACTGCTACTGCTACTACTGCTACTTGTGGCCACGCGCACCACATCACCACGGCTCGACCACGTTGGGGCGAGCATCCTGCGGTTGCCTCATTACCCTACAATGAAGTATGCGCCAGGTGTGGTGCAATGCAAGGCGGAGCGCACGCCGCGGACTGACGAAGCTGCAGTGTGGCAGCCCAGAGCAACCACAGGAAGTGCAGCACGCGGGGCTACCCCAGTACCGCCCGGCCCCTGTAGCTCTGGAGGCCCCAGGTGCCAAGAGCCTACATTAAGAAACCAGATGAGGCAAGCCAAAATTGCTGGTCACTTAGTTGAAATGCCGAGGGCAACACGGGCGCGAGGCCAAACACCCGCAGCCCTCGGGGCGGCCCTGGCGCCACAGAGTAGCGCGGGGGCACACAAGGGAGGCAATTGTAGAGCCTCAACCAGCCACGAGCTGGTACGCCATGGTGATTCCTAAAATTGGCGCGGCGCTGGGGTGGTGCACGGAACCTGAGTAGGCATGCAGCGGCTCACTCATATCAGGCCTTGAAGCCCTGGGGCTTCAGAGACACTCGGTCTTGCCTGAGAGGACCTCGGAAGGGAGCGCACGAACCATCCCGCCCCACTCACTGCCCTCCACCGCGGGGCCAAACAGCTTCGACTCGATGTCTGGCGGTGGGTCCACAGGCGGCGGCGGCACCTCCACGTTGGTCAGCGCCGCAGGTGCGGGTGGCGGCGGCGGGCCATCTTCCCCTGCAGCATCCATCCTCAGGTCCGTCTTCGGCCCGCCAGCGGCGGGAGCACTCGGGGCTGCCATTGCGCTTCTCCCGCCAGCAAGGCTGCTGACGGCCAGCTTGTGGCGCTGCTCGTAGTTCAGCACAGCGGTCTTAGCCTCGGCGATCTTCTCGCGCTTCTTCCTGGTCCTGGTCTTCTTGCTGTAGCCCGCACAGTCAGGGTCATTGAGTCCCCATGCCACCTGCGCATAGAGGTCGCACCAGTTAACCTCGGGCAGGTCGTCCCACGAGAGGTTGTCCATCAGCACCCAATTCCCCTCCCACTGGTTTTGCCCAGGCGCATACTTCTTGAACGCCGTGCCAACCGCCAGGGGCTCCACCTTGGGCAGGTACTGCAAGAGGTCCGCGGCACTGAGCACCATGATGTTCTCCTTCTTGAGCTTGTCCGCCGGCAGAAGGGCCTTCAGGTCCCTGGTGTCCTCCTCTGGGAAGTCGGCCTGCAAGTGCCACGCCTTCGGTGGCTTGGCTGCGTGGTCGATCATCTCGATGCACACGCCGTAGGTCGTCAGGCATCGGGCCCCGCAGTGGCAGTACCATCGCTGGCCACAGCGGCCTGCCGCCTCTTCCTCAAGGGTGAGGAGCTGCGTCCAGCGGTTTGCGCGGATGGCGGCCCTGCAACCATAGGGGGTTATTCCTGGTCTTGCTTGCCTGACATTTGCAGTACATGTGCATCGTGAGCTGGTCGTCCGAGAAGAACTGGCCGGAATTGTCAGCTATTTTGCGGTAGGCGTCTTGCACAGCGGCATCGCCGCCCGCCTCTTCCTTGAAGGCCCGCTGGTTGCCCAGGTGCGCGGCCGCGCGGTCGTGCGCCTCGATCAGGCCCCTATTGCCCTCCTCGGCCGTGCACGCAGCGCCCCCCGCGTCGATTTCAGCTCTCACCGCGCGGCACCCCTCTACCGCTGCATCCAGCTTCTCGAGCCAGGTCTCCATGCCCTTCGCGCAGCTCGCCGCGCGGATCACGTCACCCCCTTCTCGAGGATGGCCCCGAGAGCGCCCTTCACGTGCGTCCGCAGGGTCTCGTACCGCACTCCGCCGTAGCACCTCGCCATGCGCTTGAGCGTCTGCCTGGGGTAGCCCATCCTGATGAGGGATTGGACGTCGGCGACGTCCTCCGCCAGCATTGCACCCCGAGCGTTGGGCTCCTCCGACGCGAGCCCATGGTCCGCCGAGGCCTCGGAGCGCGGTTGCCCTGTAGCCCGCCGGCACATCCAGGCTTTCCTCGAGCACGTTGAAGGACTCCTGGAACTTGGCCACGCGGCCCCGCGAGTGCCGGGTTGAGCCAGCACCCTTGTTGAGCCTCGCCGCCTTCGTGGCTGCCTCGCGCTCGTCGATGTTGTCGTGTTTGGCCGCGCGTTTGGAGCAGGTGAAGGCGCACAGACCTCCCTCCTTGCCCCACCGCAGCGAATGGTACCTGGGGTTCGCGTCAAGCGCTTGCCCGTAGCGGGCCATCTAAGCCGTCGACAGCTCCTCGACCCTCTCTGTCTTCATGACCTTCCAGTCGTCGAGGGCCGAGCAGTAACAGCACGAGCCGTTGCGGCGGCACCTTATTATTACTGCTGCTACTACTACTGCGACTACTCTTACTGCGACGACGACGACTACTACTACAACAACAACAACTACTACTACTACTTCTTCTACTACTACTACTACTACTAATACTACTACTATTACTACTACTACTACTACTGCTACTACTACTACTACTACTACTACTACTACTATGATTACTACTACTACTACTACTACTACTACTACTACTACTACTACTACTACGACTTCTACTTCTACTCCTTCTACTACTACTACTACTACTACTACTACTACTACTACTACTACTACTACTACTACTACTACTACTACGACTACTACTACTACTACTACGACTACTCTGATTATTATTACTACTGCTAC